TTCCCTTTCCCCATCCTGCTTTTGCCATGGTCCATTCCGCAACAGCCCAATTCTTGACTATCACCCTTCTAAGATGACTTCACAGCACCATCAGAAAAATTACTGACTTGTTCTGTGACACACATTTCTGGGATTATTACATGGAGGTTTCTGACGTACCTCTGCACATGGAAGCGATGCTCAAAGATGCCTCAAGTCAAACATCTAACATCTCACTAACATCTCTCCCTGCCTGCAGTTCTAAGTGAGCCACTTTGCTCCTCCTTATACAGGACACCTGCCTATTTTCTTTTCCACTGGAGGGGATCCACAACTTCCATCACACTGAGTGAGCCTCAAAATAAACTGGTTGACATGAAAGGGAGGGAAGAGAGGCCTCTTAAATGGCACCTTGCTTAAGAGGTACCTCTCTGTTGATGACTTACTCTGAGTTCTCTGAATCCAATTTATAAGCCTAAGCACACCTATGTCCTTTCTTTCTTGAATAAATAGCACACTGGGTGGTGAAAACAGAGTACTACTTTCTTCTAAACTTTAGCTGAAGGAGATGCCACTTTTCTTTCCCTCCCTCATTTTTTTCCTTTTTGCTCTGGCCTTGCAGCTGGTGCATCTAGCAAGAGGTCAGAAATATGAGTTCATTTCTATTTCTGCTTTTGAGGATTCAAACTTGTGTTTCTCCTAATGGTCTATTCCAAAACGTTCTTGGGGCATTTTCCTCTATGCTTGCTGAAGTTCCACCTTCTACTCACACTCTGGTGGCCAGAGGAAGGAGAGAAGCCTCTCCAGCCCACTGACTGACATGCGCAGTGGAGAGGAGCACTCTGCCTTCTCCTCCCTTCTCCGGGGGCTGTGTCTGTGTTTTGCCCAGGTCGCTGCCTCCTGACAGCTGTGTAATCAGAGAGCCAGGGACATACCTACATCTTTCAGCGCCACAGGCGTGACCTGCCTGGGGGGTTACACAGACATGCTTTTCCCCTCCCGCCCTCCACGAGTCCCAAAGAGCATTAATGAGCAGCTTGGAGTCCCGTGCAGATCCCGCTTCACTGTGCCGTGTCCCCCTCTCTCTGCCCCAGTGAATCCCAGCTCATGTCCATGCAAACCTCATGAGAGGGGAGGGACAAGCCTTCCCGGGGACTCCCGCACACGCCCGGCCCCGTTCAGTGCCCAGGCTCGCCTACTGACTGAGGAGTTAGGCAGTGGAGAAAGAAGCTGTTGGATTCCTCCAGGCAAAGAGAAGGAAATGAGCCCACTCTTCTCCAACACCCTCAGTCAGAGCTCCAACTTTTAGATAACAGAGATGGCTCCAACATATTTTAAAGGAAACTGGTGATTACTAGTGCATTTTGCACAGGGCCTGAGCTGAGTGTCCAGCTGAATGGTGTGCTGACTAGACAGACAGAGGCTGTCAGTGCAGTAGGTGGAGGAACATCTCACTTGTGAATTCCAGCAATAATGAGACATCCCTTCAGTCCTGAACCACATACTTGCCCCATGAGCCTAGCAATGTCTCCAAGAAGAATTTAGCATCTCATGAGCTCAAAGGTCAAGAATGCAATCACGACCAGTAGACGTGTCAAGCACAATATATATTTTATTGGTTTAATTTCCAAGAAAGTTAAAAATGAAATTGAAGAAGAAACGCATAGCATAATCTCTAAAATTTACAGACAACATTCACGTACTTTATGGAGTCCTTCCAATTGATTTGTATATAATTTTTGACAGAAGGATGACCCAAAATTTTTGCCATATTTTGAAGTATGCCATTGAAAGTATATAAATCATAAACTGTATCTGAAATATCTTAGTCATATCAGAGAACACAGTGTTCAGAGGCTTCTCCTAAAAATGCTGATTTCTCTTCCGTGATTTCTGTCTCCTGCCTATTAGAGCTTGTAATAATCACCATTTTTGCCTTGAGATTTGAGAAGGAGTTAAGTCCCACAGAAAGTGGAATGCGTCTAAATAGTTAATTGTAAAGAAATAAGGACTTCTTTTTTCAAATATGTAGAGGATGTGCAGAAAACTGGAAATACAGTACTAAGTAAATTTCTTGTCTGTATAAAGTAAACATAAACTTTCAATTAGTCCAAAGATTTAATTTTGCAGCAATTGGGAGGATATAGATCAAAAAGCCTGAATTTATATTAAATGATATCTTTTCTATATACTCTGAAGAATGAGAAGTCACCCCTTATAGAGCATATAATCTTTCTATGTAATATATACAGTTTTTCAAAGTGTTTATGTCCTTTTCATTCTTGCAGTACCTGGCTTTACATTATGCTAAGTTTCTTCTTTCTTTGATTTTTTTTTTCACATTATGGGAGGGATATTCTTTCTACAAACTTAAATCACATGTCTTCTGAAAGTGACTCTTCCTATTGCACATTTTCCACAAAGTATTGGCACTGAAAATAATTTGTCTTCATTGATGGGAAGACATATCAATACTGGCGGGAACACTCCACTTACTAGAAAGGAAATATTATCCTTTGTTGAGATGAAAGAGTCCTTATGTCTCTTCCATCAATCTGAAGCGATGTGACATTTCCTATCACTGTAGCACAAGGATGTTCCTTCTGGGAAATGAATGGAATATACTAATGTGTATGTTCATACATCAGACAAAATCTTTTTTTTCCCCCTGTAAAATGACAAAATTATTCTTGATCTAATATTCCTAAGCCACAGCAGAAAGAAAGTGTAATTGCCTGTAAATAATAGGTCAAAATGACGAAGCATGACATTTTTAAAGTTCAAATCCTCTCATCCTTAGTTATCATACATTGCATTAAGGCTATTCACAAACAGTATTTGTCAAGCCACTGTGTGCCAAAGTGACTTATTTTGTAGTAAATCAAATAACAAGTGAAACAGAGCTTGCTGAGGTTTGCTTTCAATTTCCTTTTCTAACTTCTGTGCCATTTTAAACAAATGACATATTGGTGAGGTGAAGAGGACAAAGCAAAGCACAAGAGATCACCTGAAGGTCAGCATACAGCAGGTCTCTTCATATTAAATTTGCCAGAGCTGCACTGGCTCTCTATCCAAGAAAACAATGTTCTGCATAACAGAAAGGCCCAGAGTGAAACAGTTAAGAGATTCAGATACCAGAAAACTGCTTTTCAAAGTTCCAAAAGCTTGCTCATTACAACACCAGATAATTGACTATTAGACAGATAAAACCCCTGCTTTTCAAAGCAGACATGAAGGAGCAGTGCTTGGGCTCTGAAGTGGAAGGTACAACTCTCAAAACTGATCCTCAGTTTACATACAAATGAAACACTCTCTCCATGTATTTTATGGCAGGTTGTGAGAAACAGATAATGTCTCTTCTTATTTCCATTACAAAGCTCTGCTGGGAGACTCATAAGAGTCTCTTCCAGCTGAATTGAGTAAAACCAGTTCTTCAAAAGAACAGAAGGAAAAAAAAAAAAGAGAGAAACTAAAAAGGCCATCTCTGAATTCTGCTTCACCCACTGGGCAATGAGCTTTCCCTTTCCTATTGTACACTGTTCTGGGGTAGTTGCTCCCTGTGTGGAATGCATGCCTCTTTGACCAATTCTTCCACAAAGTTGCCTGCTCCCCTCCAGGAGCAGACTTCCTCCAGGAATCTGTCCTCCAGGGACAGACTCAAACAACTCAAGGATTGTTTCAGCCAGAAGCACTTTCACACAGTTTGAGCCAAAATTACTCCGAGGAAGACCTAAATCATTCTAGATGAGAGGTATGATGTTGCTTTTAAGAGGGTCAAAATTTCACTTCCCATATGGCAATAGAGTAGCAAATCTAGGAGAATTCCCTCTTCCAGAAGGATTTCATGGAAGCATGAAATCACCCTGTGGTTTGATGTTCGCATCATAAAACACCTAGCCTCAGTGTCTTTGGTCTTGCATTACATTGACTTTCTATATGCCCTTTGCTGTGTGGTTTGCCTTTTTTTTATTTTTAATTTTCACAGTAACTGATATTTCAGATGAAGTCCTAGATTTCAGACATTTGCTCTCAGAAATCAGAAAGCATAAGTCATATTTAGGAGAATAAAGAATCCATAAGCCTTCCAAGAAGGACATTATCAAATGCACAAAGAGTAAGAAAAAAAAATATTTTGACCTGTTCAGGTTGGAGAAGCATCCAAACTTCCAAGAGTTCCCTTTTTGACACCTTGCCATTAGATACCACTGAGGATGAACAGAGTTTGTATAGAAAATGTGACTGCATTAGCTGAAAAGTCTCTAATTAGAAAAAATGTGTCCACATCCACAAATATGTAAGGAAACAAGTGTGTGGGAAGGCATCACAAAAAATAAAACAGATGGAAAAGCAGCAAATGAAAATGAAGGAAGCTGAGAACAAATGGATGAAATTACTTCACAGGGAATATGCTTTGCAAACACCATGCTGAATCTTCATTGATCTTTGTACCTTTTTGGCGTCCTCACGCACTTCTGTAGAGGGGGAGACAGATTTCCCAGTAACTTGCCTCTTCTGCAGTGCTTTCAGACTGTCTACACATCACATTCAGTCTCATTTTTGAAAAGCTTGAACGGACTGCTGCTCTCATGCTGCTCTCCCACTGCTCCCTTCCCACCCACAGTGTTACTAAAATATGTTCTTCATCCTCTCTCCCAGCTGTGGTTTAAAGAAAGCAACATAAGGAAGTGGCGTATTGTTGTGCTTACTTTCCTTCATTGAGATGTGGGTTTCTGACAAGGATGTTTGCCTTGTTTTGGGAGTTATCCGCCAGTAAAACTTGATCAAACCTGCTGCATCCTGAAGCAATTGAGCAAAACAGAGTTATGGCTTCTGCCCTAATCACAAGCAAAAACACGTAGGTGAGCTGTAATTATCAAGGGTTCTGCCATCTGATAACATTTACAGCAAATAGAAAATGAAGACATAAACCACAGGCAAATAAGTGGAAGCTTTTTTTCTTTCTTTTTGAATAACTGACTTTTCCCTGCAGTTGCATAGGAATCTTGTCTCCACCAGAGAATCTACCCTGAACATTTTTCCTCACTGGATGTTGGGGGCTGAATTTCTGTATTCTCCTTCAGCACTGGAAGTACTTGAGAGCCGACTGATAAAATACCTGGCAAGGATGAGCACAAGGGCTGGTTCATCAGGTATATGCCAAAGTTAGTCTGAAAAAAGCAAAATATTTATTGAGACACAAATCATGTTAAAGTAATCAGATCTATAGAGGATCTCACAACCCAGATATGTTTAGAAAAACAATGCTGCTTTAAGAGTAAGGAGGTATGTACTACCTCCTTGTAATTAAGAACATTTAAAACTAATTAACTATAATAGACTAGTAAACAAAAAATAACTCCATGCTATTCAAGAAGAATACCTTAAGGAAGTGGATGAATAACATAGTATTTCATCATGAGTTCCATAGTATCATAGATGTAATTTACACTCCCTTACAGTCTTGTCATTTAGTGATTGTTCTGGCTTCTTGACAAATATTGCTAATGCATTATCACAGAGAAAGGCTAGGCAGCACGAGAATGCATGTATGTTTGAACAGTGAGGAAAAGCATTGCACCTTCTACCATGAATTATTCACTTTGGTAACAGAACTTCGTCTAGCCTTTGTGGATTTCCCTTCATTTATTTTTATGAATATTTTAGAGAATTTTTTTTTTTTAATTAGGATTACCACCTGTCTGTTATTACCTGTGAAGCCATCTGACAAAAATATTAGAAATACTTAGGTATGTGTCCTTGTGATACAGAAAAATAAAGAGGAACAGAATAACCACTTCACCCACTGACCATACAACCCTTGGAGGCACTGGAAAACTGAGAGTGTCTGCACTCTCATGTATGGTCTTGATTTTAAGCATGCTGAGCATTACAGTTGTAGCCGGGGACAGTGGAGTGTGATCTGGACATGTCACAGTAAGACAATGGTGTGTTTTTGTTGTTTTGTTTTCCAGCAGTGGAGAATCTAGAAATATGCAAGAAACAGTCTTGAAATCTCATAATAATATTTTCCAAATGATTAGAGAATAATTAATTAAAGAAATATGTAAAGCAAGAAATAAAGGAATGCTGAAGACCATGCTGAATGGATAATTGATTTGTAGACTTGAGAATGTCTTTCTCCTCAAACTGAGGACCTTGGAAAACCAATACTAATCTTCTTTGGCTTAATAACAGGTTTCAATAAAAAGTACTTCATTTTGGTAGGTTACAGCCAAAATGTACCAGTCACTCTTAGGTGTAAAATTAATAAAGAAGGAAATGAAATTAATAAAAACCAAAACTCTGTTCTTCTCAATTTCCTGATTACATTTACTGTCATTGTTCATATTGATGATCCTGAAACTGGGAGAATTAGAATTAGATAAGTTAAAAGGAATTGCAACAAACTAAAAAATATAGTGTAAGCTGACTTTGATGGAGAATATTTGTCAGACTGAATATATAGGCAGGATGTTTTCTCCTCCTCTTGCACTGTATGATTAAATAAAGATGCAGTAACACGAGGTAACACGAAACAGCTTTTAGTCTGTGAAGAATTAGTGAGAGGTAAAGGCTGAGACCTACTCCCAAGTAAGAGAGATGCTGTAAAGCAGAGATGTATCCACACACGGCCTCAGACTCTGAACTTGGGTCTTTCTGTTTCACTTGTAAACATAAATATTAAAAAGAAAAACAGTTCCCAAGCATAACATTTTTGGCTACTTCTGCTATTCCTTCATTTCACATCTCACTGGCATTTCACATATATGGGGAAGGAGTTGAACCTGATCAGGCCTATCCTATTAATGACACCTTTTGGATATCTGTGACTGTAATGGTGTCAACACTGGTGGACACAGGTTAGATCCTTTTGGTCAGTGTTCTAGTATTTAATGCTGAGGAACAACTGCAGCAGAGTAAGACCCCAATCCTCTAGCACAGTGACTGTTGGATCAACAAATCAAATGCTAAGTTAGTAACTGTTTCTTTGAAGTATTAAAGTACATAATATTACTTTTCCACTCTTGCTTTTCTCTTATCTGTTGACAAGCTGTGGTTTCTCTACAAACATTGTAAAATGAATATTGGTCCATCCTACACCACATTTCATGTATGAAGGAATTTTATAACTCATCCATGTAAATGTATTTATTTGATTATTGAGAAGTTTATATTTACTGTATTGACATCTTGATTTATCTTAAGACTGAAAAAAATCTGGGCAGATTGTTCACTGCAAGAATATTTTTCTTAAAGCACTTTAAACCATTCAGAATTATTTAAGAAAAGGCATGTGTGAATACGTCTTATCTTCACGAGTTCTTAAATAGTATTTTAATACTGGTCCTCTGTATTTCCCTACTCTGATTTGGCATCAAAAGTCCTGTATTTATTTCAGTGCTGAAACTGCTTAAGGAGTTTTCAAGGTGACAGTATACTGATAGTATACATATTTTAATACTAATACCTGCTTGGAATTCCTGACCTCTTTCTTCTGTGAATGTTCTTAAGACCAAAATTTAGCTTGTGATTACAAGAAGTGGATTTAATATCTTTTAAGTACATTTCCTTATTTTTTTCAGTAATTACAAATATTGACTCAGCAAATCCTCATAATAGCAATCCCACTGCCCCAAATAACCCCAGAAGCTGTGCATCCTGCCATTTCTCTGTTCCAAGAGAAAGATAAAATGTAGAAATTGGCCATTCTTCTTCTGAAAAATGAGACTTTCAGACACAGAGATTACAGCCTGCAGAGTTATTCCAATGAACTGCATAATCTCTCTCTGCTGTTGCTACCTTTTCCCAACTTCAAGGGCATTTTATTCTGCACATAAACTCCCCAGAACACACCAAGAACTTGGCAAGGAGTGCTGGGCTGTGAGTTCTGTGTCTTTATCTGCTCAGACTTCTGATGGCAGTAGGGGCTCTTCCTATCACTCTTAAACCTCACAGGGACAAAAATGTAAGGCTTCTTGATTAGTAAAAAGCACAACGGTTCACTGCTGGGAGAAACAGGTAAAATGTACTTATTCTTGCCAACAGTGAATCATATGATAGTCATCACACTCACTTAAAGGAGGAACTATAAAATGCTGTCATTCTTGCATGTTGTTTCTAGTACAATTACTGGATCAACAGTAGTATGCACTGCTTAGATATTCACTGACAGAGAAATACTCTGGGCACAGTGTCTCCTGCAACATAGAAACCTGAGGTGCTACATCTGACAAAGGCTGAGATGCCTTCAAGCTACAGCTCCTAAACAATCAGATAATTCAGACTAGCAATTGGTAGGGAAAATGCTCTGCCAGAATGTGTAACAAGCACGTAAGTGATACTGCATGCTAAAACTGAACTCTGGATGGATGAGTTCTGTATTTTGCTCTTGGTTGTGGTTCTCAGCTGCCTTCTCCCAGTAGATAAATTTACCTGTTCACATCTGCTCATTTTATTTATACAGCAACACAACCTCTGTCCCATACACAGATTTGGGAGATGCAGTTATTAGAGCAGAATATACATTATTTTTAATGTCGGGATGTTTTACTAGCTCTAGATTCACCAAAACTTATTAGTAAAGCCTTACAAAATAGGAGAGTGGAAGTACTCACTTTCAACAAAATGATTTTTCATACTGGAAAGAAAGGGAAACTTTTAACTTCCTGTCAACCCCCCTCAACTTGCTCTGTTGAAAAATATCTGGGCAGCAGAATGTTTTCCTGAGAACTGCATTTCCTTTGCTCTGCCTTAAATAAATGCATTTTCCAGTTCAGCCACCGGTGAGAAGAGAGAACCGTATTATTTCAGAGATCTAATAATTACAATCGCTGTTTGCAAATGTTCCAGATCTTTGGATGAAAAGCACTGCATAGTGTAAAAGCCCTGCATTACTATGAAAATGATGATAATGATGCATCAGATAAGGGAAGTCATTTGCTATCCTTGCTAACATTTCAGCAAGCGATCCAAAGGCATGGCGCCTAAGTCTGCAGAGAAAGAGGCTCTCCCAAGGCATAATGAGATACATAAAGGAGGATCAACAGCCCACAGGAAAAAAACCACAAGCATTCTAGTGCATGAGGGCATGTGCAAACCTAATGGATTTCTCTTGATGTACTGCTATCCATACATTTATGCTGGTGTGGACTGCTAATGCAATTCCCTTTGCTGCCTTGCCAGCGAGCCCCGGTTTGCAGCAGTGCTGCAGATCTATCCGCAGGGCTTCTGCTGCTGGCAGCGTTAAACTGTGTGCACGGAGCACAGGGGGTGGGCAAGAATTCAGTTCTCTCCCTTCTGTGTGTGGTTTGCATCAGGTGAAACACATGAAACAGCAACTGGCTATTTTTATGCTACTTGCTTAATTTAGTTATCTAGTCTTTTGCCATCTCCTGCAGTAACAGAGAGGGCTCTGTCACAGAAGGAGAGCTCATTTTTCCTTTTCAGTCAAAAATTACAGAAGGAATCCTTAATGAGTGTTTCTTCAGAACTGATGGCAACGGAGCTCAAGTTTGCTTTGTAGAGGTGTTTGGGTTTTATTTCAAACATTGTGATAAAAGCTTTCACAAAAAGTAGCTGGCTAGGTGTCAGCACTGTGCTGTACATTTACCAGGAAACATGCACATTGCTTGTGTGTCTAATTACAGTAGCTGGTTCTGACTTCCAGCTGCAGTCCCTCTATGGAAAGCCTCAACCTTTCAACCGGGAGCAGCAAGTTCTCAAGAGTCTAAGAGGGATGGAGGAAAATATTATTTCAGAAATAAATATCAAACCACTTCTTAAAAGCCTTACTTTATTTAGCTCATTATTGAAATTCATTGGCAGTGCTGTCATTTGAACTACCGGTTTGATAAAGTTTGATATATTTTTTCCAGGTTAGTGTTCCTGGAAAACCAAACCAAAACGGTAAATACTGACATGTCTTTCTTGTTAAGTGTTCAGGATATTGCTATCCATTCATATGTGCAGTATCTTCAATGTTTTGGAAACCGAGCAATTACAACAGCCTTTCAAAAATATCAGTTCCCTTTGTACTAGGAAATAAATCTTATTTGGCTGCATTTGTTTTTTGTAGTTAGGATCACATTGTTGACAGCTGAGAACAAACACTGCTAAATTCCTTCACTGGATCTGTATCTGGTAAAAAAAGAAAATGAAGTCTACTCGATGCCTTCTTAACAGAGAAGCGCGTGCTAGAGACATGAGTCACTGAAGGATTAGCTCTGCAGTTTAACACAGTCACATGAACTCCTCCTCTCTCCCCACCATGAACTGTGAAGGTCTGGATCAATGTCCTCTGCTAGGTCTGCTTAGTACACTGAGGATGACATAGTCCTTGAGTGCTAATCACTGGTAACCAGCTGGTGACCATCACTCCACAGATGACTTGAAGGAAGGATGGGCTCTGAGGTCTTTTCAGACCAGTTCAGGCCAACTACCAGTTCAAACTACCTCTTTCAGCTATCAAGCTAACTCAGAGGACTTGGCCTTATGCAGAGCAGGGCACGCTCACAAGATTCCATCTGCCAGCAGTGCTGAAGGCTGGGAAAAATAAAAAATGCTGAAGGCCCCATTCTTTGCAGCATGAATTTTGTTGTGCGGCTGAGGGAAGCAGAGCTCTCCCCCTCTGTGAATAGCAGCACTGTGCTGTGCAGTGCCTCGCCTTGCCATGTGTCTTTTATCTGGTGCCAGGTTGTTCTCAAGAGGCTGGAGTGCTCTCTCTGCCTTAGTTCAGTTTGAACGACTTGGTTCTCAGAGTGCTTGTCGCAAGAAATCTGCATGAGTTAATCAGAATGAAAGAGAAGCTTATCTTTGCTGCAGGAAACATGCACAGGATTATTTGCTTCTTCTTAGAATATGTGTCTTGCATAAAGTTTTGTTGCCATTTGAGATGGTCCCTGAACACAGAGTGCTGTCCCTCTGTGGAGGATTCAAGTCACAATCCAGTAAAACCTCTACTGCGCTCCATGTGGCAGCTGGGCAGCATCCCTGCCAACTGTCAGAACGTGCTCCAGTGTCACAGATTCCAGCTGTGGCTCACCATTACCTGGAGAGGGCTCTTGTCCTCAGGCTACCCACCATGACCATGGCCAGGAGCAAACTGCACAAAGGCACGTGTGCTCTGGAGATCTGGATGCCAGGGCCTGCTGTGCAACCCGAGTCATCTCAGGTCAGCGGGAGGCTGTGCCTGGACAGCTGGCCCCTGCCTGCTTGCCTCTCCCCTGTCTCAGCCCGCACCAGGCTGGCTCTGAGACGGAGCTGGCAGAGCTATTCACCAAGGATAACATCCATTGAAAATGTAGCTCTTTGTTTGCTTAATGAGTCACTGAGACAAACCAATCTATTATTTTTTTTCCAAACAAAGAACAGTAATTGTAACTTATTTGTGCACTGTTTGGGTGAATGATTTTTGACCTATTTGTTATTGCTCTGCCCCTGTGCTGTGCCCAGTCTCTGGTGTTTGGTTGGCATTGGCAAAGCTTCTGAGCCCTGACTGGCTAATGACCTTTTACAACAGGAGCTTAACAAACAGGAGGCAATGAATTTTGAGTAAGGATTTTCAGCTAAATAAATACTTATGAGGAGATTTGTGAAGCTTTGGGGATGTAGAAAGGTCTAGCCATCATCTGAGAACTCTCAATTCCAAGAAGCAATACAACCTTAAAGAGCAGGACTCCAAATCAGTGCCTGTATTTCACACTTATTCTCCAGTCACTTGCTAATCAGTTACTCTGCTTTGACTATATTCACTTCTTCTCTTGTTTTTCCTGCTAAGTAGTTTCTCGCAGAAAGAATAAAGTTTAGCCTTATGAGCTGAATGTATCCTTTCAAACACTTTCTGATTTTTCTGCAGATTTCTCTTCTTGAATGACATCAGTGCTTCAGCTTGTGTTTTTCAAGACCAGAATAAACGCATTATAAAGCAATATATATTGAATAAAAGCAAGCACAGTAAAAAATAATGCTTACTAATAGTAAATTTCTGAACAGAAAACATGTTGAGCATTTTACAGAAATAAACCCTGTCATATCTGGGTTGTAAGTGAATCCTCTTTTTACTGAGAAAACAAATGGTAAGTATCACCATAACAACTTAATCGTGAATATTCTCTCAATAGATATTTCACTATGCATGCAATAAAGCCAGTACCTCTGTATGTACAGCTATTTGGGAGTACTGTACTGACCTTTCTACCTCTGGCAGCAGACAGAGACTGCAGAAATTCTTTGTTTCGTTCCCCAGACTGTTGATCAATGCAGATTATTTGACATCTGCTACATGGACCCACAACCTGAAATTTTAGTTAAGGAAGGTTCATAGCTGTATATCAAAGTAGTACAACACAGAACAGTACAAGCTTCTGACCAGCATAATATGATAAACACATACCTTTCACGTAACTTTCCTGTGCTCTCCTACGCTTTCGTTACGTAAGAGGTCAGGCCCGTTCACCTACTGTGGTAGGCACGTTTTCAAAGGGTCTATTTGAAAAGGTCTTAATGAATTTTTAATTAATTTTTTAATTTTCTTTTTTTAAGGAAAACTTTCCCAGAGACAGAATCTGTGTAATACCAAACATTTACATGTTTGTATTTCCTGGAGGCTTCATTTCATCGACAGGCTGGCAGGGCTACTTTGCCAAAGGAGAACTGAACACAAAATTGAGCCAGCGCCTCAGGATTTAACCCAAGGAGGATTTTCCTGGGTTTGTTTTACATTGTTTCAGTGCAGCTGAAAGGCACAATATCTTTCTTTATAGGCATGGCACTTGCAGATAATCAGAATACAAAATGTGAATTTTCAAAAGTTTACATAATGAGAGGGAACAATGAGATCCTCTAGTGTAACATTATATGCAATACAGAGCATGGATCTTGAAGTTAATTGTTGTTTGAACTAGGATGTGTTTTTAGGGGAAAAAACCCTGTAACAAGTTTCTTCTTAAAGCATTACAATGAATAAGCAGGACATATTTATTGCAGTTTCACTTAATATTGCATCCCTAACTTTAGCAAAGCTGTACGTTATAGAAACAAACTGTTCCTGCAGTATCCCAATATACACATATACACATTCTACTTTTGCAAACTGTGCTGTAAATTTCAAATAGGGCAAATAATTAAACTTTATGCTGAAAACATTTTTATATGCTGATCTGAAGTGATACTCCATTTTTTTGAGATACATCTAGAACTGCTTGTATAAGTCTTCAATGTAATCATCAAACCCATACATTTGGTTCAGCTTTTTCAGAAGATGTTTTTCCACAGCTTTAATATTTTATTAAAAGAACAAGAAAGCAAGACAGAGAAGAAAATATTTTCCCTGCTTTGCTCTGTTCAACATGTTCTTCTACCATTTTACCGGCATCAAGCACCATTAACATAATTTCTACTGTTACTACATCAGTATCTGAATAAAGACCTAGCAGAGACTGAAGAAGACAATACAAATTGCATAAGCCTTTCTATTTTTGGTTTGAATTCCTAAAGTATTTCAATGCCAGAGACAGAAATGCCTTTTGTTTTGCAGTTTTACAGTATCTTCCACAACAGGATCCTGAGATGAGTTCCCTAGTGCAATTTCAGCCTCCAACAAGCTACATACCAAGGGTTTTGTCCTTTTTGTTCCTCATCTCCTACCTAAAGAAATTTTCCCTCAAATTTCTGTAATTCATACTACAGCTTACTGATCAAAGTAAACATAAGGAGAGAGCAGATATGTCATATTTTCCAGCCTTACTGAAAAAATGACCTCTCTGTCTCTTACAGTATGCTGACCAGGAATAGGAATGATGTTTATCACAGCTTCTAGATTTGGCCTTAGCACTTCTGTTATTTACATCTTCATTATCATCCCTGACGAAACAATGAATAATCCACTTTCACATCCCAGGCAATGTATTTTCAAATACATATTTCACATCTAAGGACCAGAAAAATCCAATACAACATGTAATACATGTGTGTATCATTCCCTTAGGTTTCACGTGTAGCTTCATCATGGATCCTGTGTTGAAGCTTTTCTCAAAAGAATGTATTTGCTAACAAAGTCTGAATCTTCAGCATTTTCCTTACAGTACAAAGCACATTATGTTGTTAGATATGATATGAAGCAGAACATACAAAAACTCCTATCAAGCTAAGCTTAGAAATGTGTCTTGAATGAAGACAAAATGTATACACCAGAGGGCAACAGACAGTGATTGCTCCTTAGTATTACTGTCCAGTGTTTTGGCAATCAGTTGCTTGATGTGCAGTAATCTGGTTATATTTGGACTATTACGCTTAAGAGCAACCAGTATTCTCTTATGATGTGCTGGCTAAATATTTACTGCAAACTCTGCCTCAGAACAGGGATTCTTATTCTGCTCAGTTGGATAGAGGTGCGAAATTTTATGAATTATGAAATTTTTTAAAAAAAAAGTGTGGAGAAATATGTCAAAACCTTTCAATTCTATTACAATATGTTTGGCACAGGCCACAGCATGTTGTTTTTTTTTTTAATTTTTTTTTGTTTTTTTTAAACACTTCATGAATTTCATCTGCACAAACTGTGCTGCCCGTGTTCTAATCAAAGTCTTGCAAAAATTGTTCTGTCTGTAGGGGTCAAAATACTTTGTGATATACTGGGACTAGGACAAGAGAGATGAGTTCACACCTGGAATTGCAGAGCACCTATTGAAATTTCAGCCCATTCTTCTTCTTCAAAGGACTCTGGTGCACTGATGACAAGGTTGGCACGGAAACGTCGGATTAATTCCTCTATTTCCAGTGGCTCTTCCAATCTGTCTCATGAAGTTGACAGAGAAAAATAAAAAAAAAGGTTTATTAACTCATTCTGCACTAGATGTTTGTGCTGTAAGAATCTAGTGGCTAATATAATTCAGCAAATGTTTCTCCAGAATAACGCAGACCAAGTTTTATTGCAAAAGCTATGAAAATGGCACAAAAGTATTTAACTATAATTTATAATTCTTTAACTATGATTTGTAGTTGTCTAGGTGGCTTGTTCAGAGGTGTAACATGGAACTGCAGCTATGCAAGTGTGTAGACAGGTGAATGTGAACAATGCATATGAGAAAATTCCTTATTACTTGTCATCTGTAAGGCTAATGGTAGCAAATGAAAAGATCTTCTGAGCTGGCAATTGTCTGACTCATTAAATACTTCTAAGCAGAAGGCAAATAGAAACTTATTCTGCACATGCTGCAATGGCAAAAGGGACAAAAAGAGCAGATGCTGAAGGTGAAAAAGACCAGTAAAGGCATTTTATGAGAGGATGTATTCCTCATATTATTATTATTTGCCTTTGGGATCCAGCAGATTGCACCAAATGATAGGTGTTTTGAAAAGAATTAATCTCCATGTGGCAATATCTCCACCTCTTTACAAGCATTTGAACTGTCAGAGTGTAGATTTGTGTCAGTGCAGAGAACATATATGAGGCAGACAGAGCAGCAGACTGCATACAAATATCAGAAATCTGGCTGCACCTTTGAATTGTCATTCTTTACTCTTCTTTTAAAAAAGAGCTCAAGCAGTACCAGAAAAAAAAAAAAAAAAAGACAGCTGTAAAATTTGCAAGATAGTTCTCTCAGCAGTATAGTTATTGGGGAAGAGCATTTCTTTCTTCATTAACTATTATGGACATAATTTTTGATATTCCGTTAGCTGTGCTCTGACAAGTTGGAGATATGACACCCTACAGCACAGGCAGAAACATGGGTAAGTAGTGAAGACAGAAGTTTCTGTCCTGGAAAACCAAAAAAAAAAAGTATTTCAAAAATTAAAGACATACAGTTTAAAATGTGTTTTAATTAAAATGGGGAAAACCATACAAAACCAAAGCAGAGGGAAAACCGTTCACATCACGCAGACTTGGCAGAAGAACTCTGTGAGGTGAAAAAGAGTCTGGTTTTATTTAAAATAACCTGGATGATCTTCTTTAGCAGACAAATGTGCTTAAGGATAAACTGCCTGTGCAGACTTTCAGTCACACCACACAAGCCTTTGCTGTTCACAAGGGCTCCAGCACCCTGGGGGTAGAAAGTGGGATGGGAAGCTAAAGGGCTACAGGTTTTCCCTTGAGATCCCACAAGTGATCCCCTGGCTGAGACTCAATTCATCATGATCACAGGAGATGGGAGCCAACAGAAGGTGCAGACTGTGCTGATGCTCAAACAGACAAGGATGAAAATAGCAGCTTGTCATGAACAAGATCAGTGGCACTGTTGTGCTTCCTAGATTTGCTGTGGGCTCTTGGAGCTTGGGTGCTCTGTAGCCCCTAGTTCTGAAGGCATTTTGTGACATATGAGTGCTTGCCACCCTAGCCGATGACTGTGGGGGCATCAAAAGCCCCAGCAGCCTTAAAGCTGGGCCTGCATCATCCTGAGCTTGCTACTGAAAACTATTTCAAGTTTCTACTGTTTTATCCCTTGCTGCTGATCCTCAAAGATTGCAATCCTCCTACTCCTAGTCTCTCTGCCTCCAGCCAGCTCAGGCTCACCTCCAAAATACCTCATCTCTTCTGCACCAATCCCCAGCCCTCAGAACTGCTTCTAATTACTCGGCAGCATGTATCTGAGTAAATTCCCATTATTTCCTCTCCTTCAAAACATGCATTGGTTGGATGGAGTGGCAGGCACCTTCACCCTGCAAATCTCAACAGAGATCTGTTGTGAAAATCAGTGTAATGTGCCCAAGCCAGGCTAGGTACTTTGGATTTTTCCCAGTAGTGGGCCCTGCAGTGTAGAACACATTACATATATTTAACAGGCAAATTTTGAAATAAACATTTGCATCTTCAGGGGAGGCATATTTCTGACAAGAACATTCAAACGTAAGGCCAGGCTGTGGGGATTTTCATGGAGTTGACCTGTAACAGCAACATCAGAGAGACAGATATCTCCATGTACATGTAGCTCTCCAACAGTATGTGACATTCTAATTTTTAATTACATTGCTTTTTCTGTTTCAGAACATCTCTCAAGAGCCAAGTGCAAACTGGAAGATTAATTTTTACTTACGGAAGATACAAAGAGAAACTACTAAAACTTGATTGAAGGTTCAAATTGCTTTATAAATTTTAGCAGGTTTCTGTTAAAAAAAACCAAGCCCACATACAAAGAAGCTAAATATTACTTTCTAAAAAGGAAAAACATTTTTAAAAGACCCATATGTGCAGATTCTTGAAAATACATTGCACAGTTCAGTGTTTGGAAAGTTCATACACTGATTTAGGAGCAGTGCAGAATGAGGATGTATTATCTATGTATAACTTTATGCTGAAGTAATTTCTGCAGCACTCTGCCAAAGCACTGCATGGCAAAATACGGAGGAGTTTTCCAACTTGTGCTGCAGAGTGCAAAGCAAGATGCTTCTTGGGCACCACGGCAGCTCCAGCCACTTTTGGAATTTCTTTTGAGGAAAAGAAGATTACAAGACTAGTTGTACTACAAGATGTTAGGCATAAAATCGGTGGATTATCTGACATGTTTTGCCAAAGTTCCCTGTTCTCCATCCTCACTTGATTCTCCCTCTGGTGCCTTGCTCTTCTTTGTGCCCAGATCCCATGCCTGGAGGGTTCCTCACTGAGTCTCTCCATAGAAAGGCCCAGCCTGAGTAAAGGATGCCTGAAAGTGTTGTTCTCCTGGGAAGATGAAACCAAAAAGAAGGCATTAACTATCACTGAGAAAGAGTAGTCAAAATGGATGAGATGGACTGATTTAAACCTTTCCCATGCACTTTTTGCAGAAGAGCACTGCCACGATATCCTAAAATTGCTCAGCGGTCTTCTTCTAAAGAAAGAAAACCCTCAGGCAATGCAAGCTCCAGTGGCCTGAAGCGATGCTTCATTCAGTCAGTGGTTTTAAATGCTGAAGCTATATAAATATCCTCCTACAGATATATATATATATATATATTTTCCTCCTCTAGTCAAAACAGGAATTTCAATGCAGGGGTCATGTTTGACTAAGAGGAGAGATGACTCCAAACAGAGGTAGGAAATTTTGCTGAGATAGGAAAAGTGGGCTCAGAGACAAGTGCCAGGGCTGTGGGATGCACAGCTATGATGGAGGCCTTGAGGGCAGATTTTCTGTGGAATTTGAGCATGTCCTAGTTATAGTCAAGAAACAACAACTTTTTATTGTCAGCATATGAAAATTTAGTTGGTAATGGGTGCCGTATCTTTGAACTGTGGGCCGGCTCAGTGTTTAATCTGCTTTTTCTAACTCCCACTTTTGCACAAGTAAAGTCAAATTTAAATAAGAAATTAAATTAATCCAGTCCTGCAAAGTTGTTTTTAAATAGTTCTCTTGTGACTGTTTGCTCTAAATCTTAATTCTTCCCGTAGGAAAGAAGTAGTTCAGGAAGTAGCAAGATTTTGTATTTTCAGCTGCCAGATTATTTATCTTGAGAAAACCTAATTATCCTTGTTCCCCCACAAACAGAAGCTGGCTGGTTCCCAATAATCTCCTGCCACCAAAACATTTGACAGAATTTTGTTTAAGTTTCCCCAAAGATAATTGGTAGAAATATTATGTTCAACCATTTCATCCAAATTTTCAGAAGTCATACAGGAATGAGTAATTATAGCAATTTAGTACCTGTATTTTTGTTGAACATTGAAAAGTTAACTATCTCTAAATTTCAAGATAAAACAGTTATATTGGCATCTTATGGTAAGATTCTGGAATCCAAAACGACTGAGAAACATTTGGAGACAGAAGGATCTTACCTTGCAGAAATATGTTCTTTCAGCTGCAAAATGCTTGCTACATTTATCAGGAGGTATTGTGCTTCATTCACAAGAGAGAGGGAGATGCTTGCAGCAGATGCCAGACCTAAAACAATCAGTCCAACATTGTAAAATGATCGTTAAAAATCAGGAAGATAATATTAGTAATTTCACCTCATCTTTCCTTTGACCTCTTATTAATTCTCATTAAAAAATTATTCACCGAGCTCCAGACACTAAGGAAATATTCCAAGAATCCCTTTAAACCTCTAAATGATAATGATGCCATGCATTTAGAAACTGAGATAGAGCTGAGATTTTACTAAATTTGTAAAATAATTTATAAGAGAAATATATATGGATTTTCAATGCTCTTTCAATTTGATCCTTTTTATAATGAAATTTAGTCTAAGGATAAATTCTTTATTTATAGATTTTTCATGCTCATTTTTCAAAATGATCATTGAGTTTCCAGGAAAATCATGGATATAATGATAAAAAAACCCAACCCAGACTGGCATATCTGTATATTTTCCACCAAATGTAAGAAGTAGAAGGGCACCATAAACACAGTTTAGGTTTAAATGTACTCTTTGAAACCTGCTAGGTTAATATTGGATGACTCTTTCACCCTTTATCAGGGTAGTTATATACACAGTATGAAGCCTAGGAGCCTGATGTTTGCTAAGTGAAGAATCACAACTATTAAGAATGACAACTATTAAGAATGACAACATACCTTTTGTATTTTTCTGATGTGACCTGTTTTCCATATCTGAACTTTGTCTTATCAAGCGACACGGACGACCAAGAAACACAGAGAACCAGCCAGCGATTCTTTCTCCACAGTCATATGTTTTTACCCTATTGTGAGAAAAGAGGGACTTCACAAAATTTGATTGCCCAAACGCTAATTTGCAAATCTGAAGACAAATTACAAGGATTTTTATCCTACTTCTTTCAATATGAAATCCAGAATTCGCATTGTCTGATGAGTCTGATGTGAACTTCTGCATGATTTTAACTCCTCATTTCCTCAGCTTTACTCTGTTACTCTTGAAGTTAACATTCACAAGACCTAATTTAGTTTTATACAGAAAATTACTGTGGAATAAAGGATTAAATAATCACAATGGTCAAGACACTGGCCCTGAAGTACAGTAACTGCTAGCCTATATGACAATATTACAATACGGTATTATGAAAAAGTTACTCTCTGCTCTGTTTTACTAAAACAAAAAGGATTAATCTGAGTTGAATTTAAGATTGTCCCACTATGCCACATGGTATTTAATTTTTAATGACCCCATCAGGTAAAATAATGTTAATTCCCCAATCTAGTTCATGTTAGTATAGACATTCCACATTAAAACATGGATCCACTAGCAGCAGCCACATATCCCTCTATCTAAAGATGATTTCTGTTACTTGTAAATTGAATTATGCAAGGCTGGGAAGAGAAATGCCTTCGTTACTTAGAAGGATTTTGAGATTACCTCTCTCAGTCCAGGAAGGGTACAGATCAGACCACTGCAAAGCAATCCTATTTGCCACTAGATTCCTCAGCCCAGGGTAATCTTAACATCAATCTTTTAAAAACTAGGCATCTAGCTTAAGTTAGTTGTCTGGGTTCCCCTCACAGATAATGTGAAGAGTTATCTATATTAAGCCACAGGATGGAATGACTGACTCTGGGAGTGTTAAACTCTATTGACTACAAGAAGAGATTTGACAGAGACCTAACTTTAAAATGGCTTAAATGGGTAAAAAGAATACAAATTCTCATGATGATCTAGGCAGGGTTCTTGTAAAAAGGAGAGTGAAGTACCAGTGATCACATGTTCACCTTGTTCTACCCAGCCAAAGACGGTGATCTGCATGGAAACCATCTGGTTTGTGAAACAAGAAAACAGGTCGTCACAGCAAAAGATGCTAGGATTGAGGGAGGAGGTGGCTTGGCTTTATGAAAGTCTTTGTAGGTTCAACTGAGTTACACAGGTAGAAAGCCAGGACAAGTGAAATCAAAGAGATTTTATAATCCTGCAGGGATCACATATCACTTCAGTGCTTGTTCTGAATTTTGATTGTGGTGCAGCTCTTCATCCTTCTCCCCACTCTGTGATGACAGATGCCACTCACAGCTGCACTGAGCCAGTGGTGTCCTAGAGCTGAAATGAAACTCTGGTACTATAAGATGCAAGCACTGGGGCAAGAAAGAGGCCAAAGGGTGAGTCTCCACTTGAGATTTCACAGTCTGAGGCTGCTAATGAGAAGGCAAGAACCTCTTGTGCTAACTGCATGGGTAAATCAAATTCACCAAATATTTTTTCCCACCCAAACAGAGCTTCTAGGGGTATATAAATTCTCTCCTGAGTCAACTGCCTCTAGCAGCCTGCTAGACCTTAACAGTGTATAAGTCAGCAACAAAATTTTGCCCTCTTGTTTGCTTGCTATTTTGAGTCACAGTGGCTGAGCCAGTGACATAGAGCATTCTTAGTATTTAATCAAATTTCACTGTGTAGTTTTTGTATTCTGATTCTTGTGTTTTCAAATTGCTTTCCCTTATTTTCAGATCATTTTCTAAGCAAGTACCATCATCTCTTCAAGGTCTTGTTTAAAGTCCTTCTGTCGTAGCTCAATTCTACTCATTTTCTGCTTGTGTTTCTTTTTTTGTGGAGTATTACTTTACATCTGTGAGCATTATATTTCATTTGGCATGTCAGGCAATTTATAAAGAAGGGCATAGTTCTCTTGGATTGCTGAGAGAACATCAGATTGTTCTTTGCCTTGAGTTCGCCACTCATCTTCCCATTATGTCATTGAGCTTCAGTGTGTCACAGCTGGTTCCTCTAGCTAGGAGATTTATAAAACAAGAAACAAGGACATATGAAGTCTGAATATTGAAGGGATATAATACATATATTACAAACAGGCTCAGTTCACCTTGTTTTTAACTACACCTTTGTCTTCTTCTACCACTGATGTCCACTTGGTCTCTTTGATATTGTGGCCTGCCAAAGAGGAGGCTGTGTCCCTGCCTATTTGAGTAGAACACTAACCTTGAGCATTTAGGGTCTTCTACAACATCAATAACCTTAACATCATTAACTTCTACTTACATCTGTCCACTGTTAGAGATTCTACTAGAAAGCCATGTTCTCCTGTTGTGAGCAGCACATGCTGATGGACAGCCCCTGCCAAGATGAAGGCTAACACTGATGAATCGCTTCACAAGAGAAACTCAGGCTCATTAAACTTTTGTGGCTGCTGTGAAATTAAATCTCCTCACGTGACTACTTGTGGTTTCTGCATCATCATGTGCTTTCCTCAGCTATCTCAGTGTAAATTCAGAGTAAACTAAGCCAACAAAACTGGATGAAAACACAGCATCAGAGAGCAGAATTAATCTGTGGAAAATGTCGCCAGTAGGGGTGTCTCTTGAATAAAACCTTTTTAACAAAGACTTTTGGTCACAGTGATCACCTCGGACACCTTGCAGAAAGGACACCAGACCACAAATTATCTCCTGTTCTACTGAAAAGCACTGTTTTGCTCCTATTCCCATTGTTTTTTGCCCCAGAGGCTTCCCTGCTGAAAAATGAGAACCTGGCATCAAGTGCTGTTTGATCTCTGAGCAGTTTGGGAGCCTCATCAATGCTGTCCACTCACTCTGCCTTACTTCCTGGCTTGTTTATTTGCTAGTCACAGTCCACTCTATGCAATTTGTCTTGTATCTCCCCTTCCTTTGACATTCCATCCTTTTCTTTCTCCACAGAACTGTAAGCAGTTTCCCATGAAATTTTCCAATTTCATACATTAAAAATGACAGTCGGTGACATGAAAGACAAGCTACAATAAATAGTATGGCAGCCAATTATATGCACACAGAGAGAAACCTAGGCTATTTTACAGCCTGTAATAGATGGGCTAACCATGGGGAAGCTAAGGATGAGTCACCACTAAGGGAAGTGGGACAGATGGTTAAAACAAATTACTCCTGGGTGAATTCCACTACCTGAGGAAAATTCAATTCTGAGAAAAAGATCATCTTTATCATCTGAATATCTAGTAGAAAAGAAGGAGAAGATAATTTCCTGCATGGGTTTATGAGGAAAATGGCCAGGTGTCCTGATATATGTTACTCTTGGAGAAGCAAATGTAGAGTGTTACAAAGAATTAGTAAACCTTAGCTAAAGAAGATGTAAATCTGTAAGTGGCTCTTTTAGTTTGACTTACCAAAAGATTCAATGAAAAGAAGTTTAGTAGATAATGCAAATGTATTTTACAAAGGCACTTGATACACTGCCCCTCAGGAAACTTAATGAGACCGGGAAGTAGATAGAAAATGTGATGGATAAACACTTAAGTTCACTGATAGGAAATTAATTCATGCATAATGTTATATTTCACTGAAGTGGTCTGACTCTTCATTAGAGTTAATGTTATTTCACACACTCACCTGCAATCTTCCCAAGGTTGTAAGGGGACACTGACCAACATGGGTGGTCAAAACAAAATTAAAAAAGGTTGTAAATATGGAAAGCTTTTTATAACCTCAGTGGTTTCTAGCAATTTTGAATCCTCACAGCATGAAATGAGCAAAGTTGCCAGCATCATTACTGTCAAATGAAGGAACTGAACTCTGAAGTCCAGCTGAGGTCCCCAGCTGGCATTCAGAAGTAACTGGAGATATCTTTCCCTTTTCTCATACTTGCAGCAAGTAAAATAAAGATTGCCCTTATTCAAGTGGATGCCAAGTCATCTCAGTCTGTTGTACTGTACTTCTCCACCTTTTTAACTTTTATTATTTTTTGTTTTCTACCAGACATGCTAAGCATGCCAAATTACCTATTTAAATTTGTCTTCTCCTGGTCCCCTATGTCATCCATTGCTTTCTACCCTCCCTCTCTTTTTTTGAGTACTTATGCCCCTATGTGTCCATCCAACCATATCCTGTGTGTCATTGCAGTGATTTTCCAGCTTCATATTCCTCTCAGTTCTCACTCACCTGTGTGAGCAGACTTTACTCTCACAGATCACAGTCTCTTTTGCAGTGTTTTCCTCTAGTGATAGAGATATTTGGTCCATGCCTAGATAAGCAGAGAGCAAAACGTATTTTAAAACCCCCACATTTATGCAGAAACATAGGATCATGAAAAAAGTTTTTATTTTTGTGCTTGTTCACAATCACAGCAGCCTCCCAAATAGCATGTGGCAAAAATCATTTCCTTTTTGCTAGAATTACACTCTCTGCCTGCAGGTGGCTCCAAATGATAATGCAAAGAACAAAGGCTGCAGATGACCTTGGTACCCAAAACACATTAAGGAACATACAATTTCAGCTTTGAGTAACTTCATTCTCTGTGCGTCTTGGTCAACAAAACTGGCACAGAATTATTGCCTCAGTCAAGGTTTCTGTTGAAAGGATGAGTTAATGTTGTTGTGCCTCCTCTAGAAAATCCAGATATGAGGTTAATCACTACCAGGTTGGGTTTTCTTTTGATGTGGTGGGATGGAATGATCTGAAAGATGGAGGGCAGGGGGGTGGGATGTCAGAAAAAATAAGCACAGGTTGTTCAAGGAAAGAAATATAATGCGTCATAAACCTACAATAATTTAATGACAAAATGTATGGAAACCACCACGGAGAGAATTATTCCAATTTGACCAGGTTTAAACCAGGTGAGGAATCCCTGGTAATGATCTATGTTAACAGTTTCTTCCATAGTTTTCTTATCTTGAACAGAACGAGCCAAAGGGATGGAAAGGCTACTGTGGCTTACTAGTACTAAAAGAAAGGCTGAAATATTTTCCTTTCTGGTAGTTGAAAGCAATAATCTGAAATGACAAACAAAGGGCTTTACTGTGTGGCTGCAATGAAACCAATTCTTTTCTATTATACTGCAACATAAAACAGCAAAGGCTGATCTTCTGTACCCCAGCTTTATATCAGCATGTTTAAATTTCACTCATTAGTTCTTGTTTATATTATTGTAGTAAAAATAAGAAGCCAGCTCTACCACCTCTGTAATATGGTGAAATCAAATTCTTTTATTCTCTTCTGAAGAATAATGAAATATAGCTCAGATTCATTATATCCCAACTATCAGCTCTGTGCCATGCAAGTTTTCAATACAGAAAGACATCTACTCCTTTTTTAGCTAATGATGTTAGTATAGTTCAGAACCAAAGACACAGGAGGAAAAGCTGGGTTCAGTCGGGAAAATGAAACATGTCAAGTAATAAATGCACTGAACTTGATTGCAACAACCTGAAAAACAAGTCGATGTTATCACCTTACAAACTAGAACTAACGCTCTTGTCCTTTGAAAAAATTAAGCATTAGTATCATTCTTTCTGGAAGAGTTTGAAAGGTTTAGTCCTGTATGCATCCTTAGGTGTTACATATTTTAAAAATACTTTCTATGCAAGACATACTCACAAAATTTCTTAAAATAGAGTCTCAGGGCTTTAAAAAGCCCCTGCTTCTATACACCATAAAGTGTATCACATTTTTATTTAACAGTACACATTTTACAGTGATGTTTAGGTCAGTTAAACATTGTTAATTACAATTTTATTCTATCTTAAGGCAAAAAAATAAAGCAGAATATTGCCAGTTACTAAAATGTAGAAGCTGTCATTCTCTATGGTGATTTGCTTGATAATAAAATTCACAGATGTGCTCACAGTATTAATATAAAAAAAAAAATCTTGTCTTTATAGCTCCTATTTTCAGTCAGTGAGAAAAATTAGAGGTCTGTTATTTCAATAGACTGAAATATAAACTATTCATGTATATTCTTTCATCAGTGTATGCACTTAATTCCCATTATTTTTATTGGCAGTAACACATGACTATTTGAAGGCACAATAAACTCCATAAAGTGTAATTAGTTGCTCAGTTTTGCTGGCATCTTTCTACTCCAATATTTTAAAGGGCCTTCACAACACTCAAGATTTCTCCCTCTGTGCAGTGGCAAACTAATGCCAACTTGCCAGCGTAATGCTGATTGTTAGCTAAAATGGGAAGAGAGAAATCAGTCTTCTATGGGAATGTATTCTCAGCTAAATCGTGTTTGGCTTACTTTTCTGTTGGTCAGTGTAATCAGGCCAGTGTAATCTGTGCCCCCGTCTCCTCCCCCGATGGTACAGGGCAAGAGTAGTTCTCTTCATTTTAACTCAAGTAATACAGCTTCTAGAAATAAAGGCACTTGGTCCTGCCCACCTTTAAGCTGCTGGGAGCCAAACCATCTACTGCTCCAGCTGAGATACAAGAAGTTCTCTTTCTCCACAGGGGTTTATTTAAAGTTATACCGATTTTCTCAAAGTGGGTCCTGTGACAACAAGGGTTAATTACACTCTTCATGTCAAAAAGAATAGGAAATGCCTGCTAACAGCCACACAGCCTACGAAAATAATTCTGACAAAATTCAGAAGTGCAGTTTCTCAAAACTAAAATCTCACTCCCTCTACCAAAGTAAAGTACAGCCAACAAGAGACCAAGCACAAGCTCCTCCTCTTCTTCTCCTCTCACCCCCTTCCTCAGGGATGAGGGGAATACCTGGAGCTTCCCAGCTGCCATGCAAGCCAACTAATTTTGCACATATGCCAGGGAAGGATCCTAAGCCTTCAAACAGTTCCAGCCTTGTCTAGAGCTCCTGTCTGATATCCTTGCTACCTAGAGGGATGGCAAGACTGCAGTGGGTCAGACAGTAGGTCTTCTCATCCAAGACTGGGTGTTAGCCAAGCTCTGGAGACAAGCTATGTACAGGTGTTAAAGAAAGAACATGAAGCTGTGTCTCAGCACACAGAGGATTCAGTGAAAGGTATTAAAGTAGTTAGTGTCACAATAATTCATCCTGACAGTTTTATTTTGTTAGACACAGAAGACAGAGAATATGAAACCATACTGAACTAACACAGCCATAAACAAATTTTCCAGTAATGAAAAGTTCTAGAGGGAGAGGCGACCATGCGTCTGGAGGGGGAGAGAGAACGGGCTCGTTATGTTTCAAAAGTGGCACAGATAAAGTCTTCACCATAATCTAACAGTGTTACAGCAAATGTTCTTAAACAATGCCACATAATTCAGCTATGTGGGATTTGCCCTACTGGGCTTTAGGCACTTACCAGAGGGACCTAATCCAGCAGCACAGTTGCTCTAGGCTCTCTCTACTGGAGAGAGACACCTCCAAAGCACACTCTAGGCGGAGATCATTGCCACAGCCTGCTCTCACAGTGAGAAAAGTGCAGATGGCAGCAGAGAAACTGGTAGAGAAAGCAGAGTGGTTACAGCCTCCTTGCAGAGGAGCAGGAGAAGGCAGCTCGCTTGACTGCAGTTGTCACCCACTCAGCTGGGAGCTGCTGGGTTTTCACGTTCAGCAGAGCAAGAGGTTCAGTAAAGGTGCAGCTCAAAGCTTCTGCCTCCCTGTTTTTTTCACTGCTGTCGCCTCTCATACACCCACTCCTCACCACCAGAAATGTCCCCATCACACTGAGAAGAATAGGGGGGAGGGGGAGGGCAGGGGGAGCTGGAAGAAACAAAACTGCTCTTGGAAAGATGCATGCTACTGTAGTTGAGGAAAGGCAGATGGAGTGGGAGGCATCCAGGTGGGGAAAGAAACTCACAAAGCAATAAAGCTGGAAGAGAGCTAGAGGTGGCTGTAGTCATCAGGCTGAGTGCTACAAATCTGAAACACCACTAGCCACAGAAGTAGGACAGTGGAGCTGCTGAGCTTCACAACAGCCAGCCTGGCTCATCAGAGGTCTACTGATTTCTGCTCCAGCTGCATACGTGGCATCCAGCTTCAGGTCCTACATTAGCAACAAACTACAGACAGGCTGGAGAGAGCCCTGACAAAAGTAACAGTGATTGACATGGAATTTTCAAGGAAAGAGTCAACTTCTGAAATTAGATTTGTCTGCCATGATATTATTTAAGTGGGAGATAAAACAATGACCGATGTATGTGAAGGGATAAAAGAAAAACTGAAAAATTTCACACCAACAAACAAAGCACGTATTTAGACTGTGGGTAAGAAGGAAGAAAACTAAATATTGGAACAACTTCCTACAGATTTATCTGCTCAGTTTTGCCCTGTCAGTTTGTATGTGTTCCTATCATTGTGCTAAGTGATGTGCTTTCACCTTCTAAGCAGTAACCTCTGGAGTAGTCTCCCCAAGCAAATAATAGGCACTATCCCACTGTGCAGCATTAAAAAAGTACCATAGATTGCAAGTACGCTACCAGAGTGAAAAACAGCATGACTATTATAAAAAGAAGGTCCAGATCACCTTATGAGCTAAGGTTATTGGTATCTAGACTCATACAAAGAGTAAAATGATTCCACTCTTACATGCTGGCTGTAGCAAAGCGGGTTATAAAAAAATGTCAACCATGTTTCCATTAGAGCACACAGGAGATCTGATCAATCACTTTGGGGTGTAAAAGGGATCCATGGGCTTGGTCAATCACTTCTGCATGGAAACAGTTCTCACTTTTGTAGGAAGGAAAGTGAATGACAGTGAGAACTCCAAAATCAATATAATGCAAAATGTAGGATTTAAAGGTGAATTTCACCCTGGCACTAACTATGGCAGGAGATTGTAGAGCTCAGTGAGAAATGAGTTCCTTGGCTGTCATTTTTGTCTGAGGAAACTTCTTCCTGGCTCTCTGAAGTATGTCAGTGCAGCTATTATTGACAAGCAAACATACTAATGGATATGCACTTGTCTGAACAATGTGGTACTAGGAGGGAAAAATATCAAGAACATACTTAGAAGTGCAGAATGAAGCAATCAAAAGGTCCAACAAAGCCGAACCTCTGAAAATATGAATGATAAATGGAGAAGGCTTGGACATGACTTCACATGTGGTATCTGCAAGGAAGAGGTACCAACAGAAAGGAAGACTGATGGAAAGGAGCTGAATTTCTAGAAAATAGTTCCGAAGCACTTGGTAATTTTAAAGTTGTGTGAGAGAGGTGTCTATGTGACCATACTACAAAAATTTGAGGCTCAAAGTACTTCACAGAGAACTGACATAATGTAACAATACCTTTGCAAAGAAAGATTACAAAGGAAAAAGTGGAAAACACAGCATTTGTGCCAATGAGCCAATCTGGAATCCCTAAGAAGAGACTAGATTGTGTTTCGGATCAGAAACACACACAAAATCACACAAGACTAGTGGAAGTACACAAATCTGACAAACCTATTCCACACAAAAGAAATCAGTTGGTCAGTTTTATGCAGAGTTCTCGGACAAGTGGAGAGGACAACAACAGAATGCACAAACAGAAAGGAGACTGCAGTTACATATCCACTCATAAAGATTTCTAAAAAAGGGTGAAAAATCTGAATATAGGTTCCTTTGTTTTGCTCTAGCTGCTGAAAATGTGGGCACATATATTATTAATGGTTAAGATATACAGGCTGAGTAAACGTTAGACCCCAAGGAAATAATGAACTATTCAGACATTAATAATGAGTTTTGTGGAATACACAAAATGACTTTTGTGGAATGCTGTTCCAGCATTGAGTGCTTACAGCACTGTTAGCAAAATAAATATTTTCGACCCTCAGGTAGCAAAGGTCTTTCCATAATCTTTCCTCAAGTTTTTTCTTCTTTTCTTTCCCCGTCAGCAGAGAACAAAAAGAATTTTGATGAACCCTGAGAAGCCCAAATATCATGAAATATTTGCCTGCTAGTGTGAGTACTTGGCTAAATAATATCTTACTTTAATCCTTATTTTAATTCTTACTAATTTAATTCATAAACTGAAGACTCCACACTTCTAGTCCCACAGCTGGAAGGAGGGTAAGAGTTATAAAATGGGAAGGTCTTTGGCCAAGGGTATTCATGTTAGACTCCATTCCTTTACCTTTGCATTAGTAACAGTCCCTTCAGGCTGACAGACCTCATGATGTGGAGAGATAGACTAGTCAGTAAATTCATTACTCCTTCCTGGAGCGTCCACTTCATGATTGCATACAGGGAGTCACTGTCTACTCTCTGCCCATCCCAACAACAAATCAGGAAAGTACCTGGGACTGTATTTTACAGTCTCAGCTTTCTTTGCCCACAGCTGGTAGCAGACTTTGTCCCTGAAGTCAGTAAGTACACACAGCATTCAGTAGTTTGGTGGGTGCATGCAGATGTCTCTGTCTAGAAGTTTGACATGAATAATGAAGGGGAGAAAAGGGTATTTGGTACCTTCTGCCTGGATGACCATAACCTTTTTCTTCAGATCAATTGAGGGATTTACAAGACACAATCTTGGCTCCTGTTTCTGAGTCATGCAGACTCCATTCTGGTTTACAACCATCCAGTTACGGTCATACAGCAAACCCTGGTTCCCCACTGGCCATTCTGTAACCTGGAAAAACATCAGGAGGGGATACGAGGTTTAGAAAATGTTAGTTGCATTAATAGGTTCATGCTGAAAAGAGAGAGAAAATAAACCATTAATGAAATACTTTGAAATCAGGAAAACAGCATTTAATAAGACAAACTAATTGCAAATCAAAGATAAAGATATCACTGCACAAAGCTGACAAAACCAAATGGAGTTACTATCATTTGTTCCATATTATCATACATTTTGATAAAACAGAGCTATGAGAATAGAGTAAATAACCTCTGAAACACTCTGAAAACTGCTTTCAGTTTTATATTCGTCCATCTCCAGAATTTTTCTGCCTCTAACAATTTTCTTTTAATTTACAAAGAATGGACATTACATGGAAGTTGTATGAATTAAGGCAAAACCAATGAACCAAAAAGCAAGAAAAATGTGAAATTCAGAATTCAAAATTCTGAATAAATGGCCATATTTTTCATAAAACTGGAACCACTTTATCAATTAATCAGTTTGAGAAAGCCTCCACCACTGAGGTTTCTGGTTTAGCTAGGAGCATAATAGTTTCTACAGCTCCCCTTACAATACAGCACATTGTCCTCTTAGCTATCTGTTCTTCCATTACTTCTATAACACTTTTACATTCAATAGCCTATACAAGCATATTGTCCTTGCTTTCGTGTACATTTTTCTGGTGAAAAGAACAGCTGTTACTGATGCTACACAGATGGTAATCTTGAAATCTAAAAAGAGAACAATTTTACTAATGCCTTTGGGTGATATTAATAACTGCTTTCTCCTTGAGAATGTTAAAACATTAATACCATTCTTTTAACATAAAGCTGGGCATTTAAACATATTGCTTCAACTCATGTATGCTTTCTAGTCACAGCTGAGTGTGGAGAAAAGTTAACTACAGCTGAACTTTGTTGAATTTTTGTAAAGAATATTAATGAAGCCCACATAAATTATCTAGCAAAAGACTTTAGCAAAATTATTGAGAAAAAGAACTGTTAGCCACAGTCTGATGCTCTGAAGAAAAGCATGGCCGGAAGTACTGGGTAGATTAATTAAAAATCACATTTCTGTTTGGCATGTGCTCTATCCAAAACTTCACAGAATCACAACCAACCATTTTTAGAAACTTTTCCAGGTTTTATAGGAGCTTGCAACAGCAGCTTGCCACTGACAGCCTGCCTAAGGAAAACTGGGGGCAGGCACTCTGCAATGGAAAACTTCAAGCATTAAAGCTGAACTCTAAATTTTGTCCACAGTCCACAGTCCTATCAACTGTATTGAGTACAGGAAATACATGGAAAAAAATGAAATATAAGAAATGTATTTTATCAATCTAATTGATTTATAATATTCTTTGGCAGTTTTTTAAGTGAGTGTGGATGAAAAATTCAGTCAAAAATGGAAACTTTGGGTCTGACAATGTCATCTGAAACCATGTTGTCCCAGCACCTCAAACTGTCCGCACCTAAATGATATGAACCTTCTCCTTTCTTTGTAGGACAGGAATCATAGCCCAAAGACTGCAATATCAGCTGTAGAACAGATTTTCTTCTTGTTGGAAATCATTCTTTGGAGAGGCCAGTTGTTGTTGGATTTTTTTTTTTTTTCATAATTAAAATAATTAATAAATAAATAAATTACAAAATGTTGCTGATCATCTGAGAGCTGCAAGCATTTCCTGCTACAAATCTCCCTTCCAGAAAAAAAAGATCACTCATTGGTAATAAATCCTTCCATGGATCCAACAGATCTTTACAGGTTTTGCAAGACGTAATGAACAGAATAAACTAAAAGAGCAGAAAAATAGAAAAGGAGCACAAAGACAAGAATTGCTAGCTCCCTACTGTAACTTTCTGTTGTTTGGATTCTGCTTCAGGACACCAATCTTACTCAGGAACTAACTTAAGTGTTTCCTTACTCTTCACTGAAGGTAAGAGGTTTTATGAGCAAAACAAAACATCTCTTTAATCAGAGCTTCAGCTAATTCTTACATGCTGATAGGCATTGTTGGGAAAGCTCAGCTAACTAGGTAGGAAATACTTGGATATAACTAACACCTTCCATTCAAAACACCCCTGGGTAGGTCCAAAATAATGGCAAGTAACTCCATGCCCCACTCTGAGATGCAACACTTGACTACAAGTCCTCAGCTTATTTTCCCCCTTCCTCTGGGTATTTGCCATTTTAACAAGAATCCCACATACACGTGCCCAGCAGTGAGTCTGTATCCTCTCACAGATGTTCCCTGTACCCTGTCAATGCCCTGCTCCTTTCAACTTACTGTACTGCATATGTTAGGATCCTAATAAATAAAGTTGCAATGAAAAAATAAGTGTGTAACCTACCTTGGACAGAGAGTCACAGGTGATCATGAAAGAGTCAAAGCTGGTTTTTTGCTAATACTGATACTGGAGATGAGCACGGAAGAACATGCACATTTCTAGTCTTTGTACTTAGGCATGCGACCTGTGTAGACCATTTCCCACCATTATTTCAAGGCTAAAAGAATGTTAAATGATTGCAAGGAATTGAATTAGAGAACTTCAAGGAAATTCTCCCTGCTCTGCTTTTATTTGAGACATGAGAGAAGTGGTTCAATTTGGCTCCCTTGGATTACCTCTGAGAGATATGTCTGCCCAAGGTTAGCAGAAAAAAACAAGGGCCACAAAGATGATCCACAACCTGGTGGACCAGCAGCAGGAGGTCAGTCAGGGCACTCAGATGTCATTAAATACCTATATTCAGGCAACAAATACAGTGAAGCAAAGCAACCAGTGAAACTTCCTGCAAAGTCAAGTAAAAACAGGTTAGTTGTTACAGTGCAGTAAGCAATACTGTATTATGTAGCTTCTAATTTGATTATCTGAGGTTGTCTGGCCATCCCTGACTATTGAGGCAAAGTAGAAGGGGGAGAACAGAAAAAAATCAGGGACACCATGATTTTACTGATAGATGCTAGCATACACCTTTATTCCCAGCATGGCAGGTATGCTAATCATAGAATCACTATGGTTGGAAAGGACCTCTAGGATCATCAAGTCCAACCTTCCTCCCAACATTTCCCTAACCACTAGACCATAGCCTCAAGTGCCACATCCACGCGTTTTTTGAACACCTCCAGGGATGGTGACTCCACCACCTCCATGGGCAGCCCGTTCCAGTGTCTAACCACTTTCTCACTGAAGAAATTCTTCCTAATATCCAATCAAACCTCCCCTGGTGCAACTTGAGGCCATTTCCTCTTGTCCCATCATCAGTAATTTGGGAGAACAGACCAACAGCAGCCTTACTACAACCTCCTTTTAGGTAGTTGTAGAGAGCAATAGAGCATACAACATAAGGTCTCCTTTACCTATCATAAGGAAAGTACATTGCACAGTACAGGCAGTACATGGTAGTAGCCTATTTTTTCAGTCCATTTTCCCTTTTGTAACATAAAAATACTAATTGCAAGAACATGCTTTTTGTTTTCTTTACAATTTTCTTTAAAACATTTTGGGCTGCGTTTTTCCATAGTTCACAGTAATATCATCATGAAGGCTAACACAATTTTCCAACACATGAAAGAAATCACTGAACAGGCTTTAAATTATGCAAGTTTAAAAATCTTTGTGGTCGTACATATAATTTATCCACTGATCACTAGCAATTTGCATTGTATTTTAAATGAAAAGCTAATTTGTCTTCTGTGTTGAGATGTAATTTTTATACTCTGAAATCTACTGCATGAATAATAAAGTTATTAATGTTTAAAGTCCTAACCTTTTTCACTGGGCACACTGCATTATGTAATTATGCAAAATTCATTGACACGAGAGATTTTCATGTTTAACAATGCAAGTTTAAAATGTTTTTTTATGTTGGAAAAGAATAAAAAAAGTGAGCTAGGATAGAAGTTACCTTTCTTCTCTGCTTCTCTCCATTTAATAACATAAATGTAGGGGGAAAAAAAAGCACATTTAAGAAGCTGAGTTAGAATATTCTGTCCTCTGCTTCCTGTGCCTTGTGTACAAACCCCCATGGAAGAACACTGAAGAGAAACTGTCCTGTGGCCAGGAACACTTTATAAAATGCACATGCAGGAACTAACTGACCTGCAGTGCCCTGGTGATCATGTCAAGCTTCATCCCCCCAGCTGCCAAAGCACTCTGCACTCTCGTTCTCCCTAGAGGTCAAGCACCTCCCACACTAAACCACTTAGAACAGAGCAGAGAAACCAGAATTTAGGAGGGGAGGAGATCATGCAGCCCTAAAGAGGAGATAAAACAGCTGTGAGTTTGTACTCGGATCGTTATCAAGCTTGTCCTCCCTCCACTAATCAGCTCCTCTCTCCTGCATCCAGTAAGTCAGCAGGCAGACGTCACTGGCAGACGGGCTGGGTCCTGCACACAAGGTTAGCTGGAATTTTCCACTGCACATAATTTTAGACAAATGCAAGCCATCATGTACTAACAATAAAGCCCATTTACTACACATGCTGAAGGCCTGACCTACCGTACCAGCTGGAGGCCTGCACTTGAACTTACAGATCCATGAGATTCTGATCTCAAGTATCCAAGTACAAAATGAGTGAATCTATTGCTGCTCAATATCTAAACCACTTTCATCCTTTCACACCAACTAGCTTAGAGTTACCTTACAACTAGTTAAAAAGGGAAATATTTTTCTAACTCTCCAACAACTACAAAGCATCTAGAGGTAATTTAGACTAAAAACTTGAAGCTGAATTTAATCCCTAGCTTCTAACTGAAGATCACTAAAAGAAGAAATTACAAGCTCCATAATTATTACTTCAGAAGTTCATGAGTTTAAAATTAAGAAGATAATACAATGTTAAGTGTAAGGTCTGTATGACAAAGACCACTAAGAGACTTGCAAAGGAATACTTTTCTATGGGATTCAATCTTTTAATAATAAAGCCTAGAAATTAGGGTTTAATCAATATTTTAAAAGGCAAAATGATTTTCAGGAGTCAATTCCATCTAATTGTGATGAGATTTCTGTAGCATGTCTTGCTTGACAGTCCAGTGCCATGATGCATGGCTTATTTTCCCTTTTCAAAGTGATATATATAGATCTGTGGGGGGTGATGTGCAGCACTGGCTTTCTATTCTACTTTTAGACATTGGGAAGAGACCAGACAAATTTAGAATGGGATTAAGTGATTTTTAAAGCTCATTAGAAATGGTGGCTTGTAAGTTGCCATGTGCACCTCTTCTGTAGGCAGACAATGAGATCAACAGATCTTTCTCAGGCTGGTTATAAACATAAAACATGTCTAGATGTGTCACTGACACCTTTGGGAACAAAAACCTGAAGAATGCCTAGTGGACAGGAAGAAGATCATGAAAGCAAACACATTTTCTTTGGGGATTTACTTCAGTACTGAAAATGACGAAAATGAATCAATCTTTTTGCTTCATCTCCTGGCCTGCTCTCCTTAGGCAATGAAAGTCCTTTTTCATCATATCTAGTAGGTCAACTTCTGTTCTTTCACAAGTACTCATGTGTCTTCTAGGAACAAAGTGGAAATGCACAAAAAATGTTCTTTGAGAAGAGGAGGAGAAGAATTACATTATATTGATAGCGAACCTCCAGTAATTTCCAACACCATATAGTAATGTACTCGCTGTACAGGCTCTGACAGTGCTTACCTTAGTGGGTTTTAATGTGCTTGATACTTTGTTACAAAAAAAAATCAAACCAGAATACAGCAGACTTCACAAATGATTCTAAGCATGCAAAACTAAACTTCTTAATGCAGTTGTGTCCTTGTTTGAGCTAGAACAGAACCAAATTTGTTCAGTGATTTTAATTTTCAGCCAAGTCTCTTCTAACTAACTGCACTTTCTGAAGTTAGCAGCATATTTTTGCAGGCAGTGTCTGTTTCTAGCAGTGATAATGCTTCATGTTTAGACCTATGACCAAGGACTTGTGTGCAGGAAGGCTCTTGCTTATACTTGCTCTTATAGAAACCAGGGTCACTGCTAAACCTTTTGCCCTGTGTTGAGGGTGCAGAACATAAAAGGCTGCACCTTCAGGGAGGAGCAGATAGGGCAGTGACCCTAAACTGACCAGTGAGGTGTTCTATCCCATATATGTCATATTCAGTACAAAGCTAAGGGATCACGAAGGTCAAGCCCTCTTCTTCAATGGCTGGTGTCCGAGGAGGACTCCATCCATTCTGCCTTTGATCATCATCATTTTCATTAAAGCTGTTTTAGTTTTCTTCTCTAATGCATAAGTCTCTTTCCCATATTCCCTTTCCTTCCCCTTTGGGAAGGGAGAGGGAATAATAGAGAGCATCTGTCATTTGTCTAGTGGCTGACCCAGCCCTAACCCTTAACAAGCTGCAATTCTAATATCTGTATTTTTTAGCTATTCAAATCAGCTAGTGTTAGCTGTCTAATACAAGTTGCTTTGGATTTCTCCTGTAGTCAATGGAAAGAGACAGAAATATCTAGGAACAACTCATTTTTTCCTACAGCAGATGTCTGTTTTATGATAAGATGAATTAGGAGGTATCTATCTCTTACTGCTTACAGAATATTATCTAACTTTGGGGGGGTAAGTTGAGGTATGATGAACCCTGCTTTCATGCTGTGTCTGTTAACACATGCCTGGCACAAGAAGCATTCATGAGGAATAGAGATTTTCCACCTCCACATAAAATTGCAGTTCTGTCTGCCAGGGAGTACCAGGTTTGTATGAATTGATCACCTATGGTTGTTTCCCCCCACAGAGCTTGAAGAGAAGAAACCTGGTTCAGCTTGTGGGGAAACATTAGCTGTCTTTCACGCTGAGGTACGTCTTACCTGCTCCTGGGCACAATCACTTCAAAGCCTTCCTAGCACTGAACATTGTGGTGTGTATCACACAATACCAGCCTGCACATTAAAAATAGCACTTAACCCCAAATGGCCCCAGAAAGCTCTACAACGTATTTCAGCAGCTTCTGTAGTGAGCATTTGTAATGCACCTGTAACAAGTGCAACACTTTAAAAAAGGTTAAAACATTTTCACATGAAATGCAGGAATACTTTGATTTTCTAAACAGTTTGATCTAGTGGGAGGTTAATAAGGCATGGAAATTGTTTGTTTAGGTCTCATTTAATGCTCAGAATTGTTCCTCTGAATTAAAGGCATCAAAAGCCCAAACAAATTTTAAAATATGGGTGTTTCATTGACCGTTTAACAGTCTTTGCTTGAATTCCCCAGCCTCTTTTTGCAGTAAGAAAAAAAATCATGATGAAATCAGTAGAGATGCCATATTTTAAATGCAGGTAATTTATCACTGGATTTGACCCCAATTTTCACTCAGATGTGAGACAGTGACCTATACCAGCAAGTTTTCATAGGGAAAGTTATACTGATATTGACATTCATTAAATCACTTCCCAGTATGGTACTAAGCAGAGTCTCATTCTAGGTCATGTGTGGGCCATACACATATTTCATCGTGCATTATTTAAAAAAAAAAATAGTCACAGCTAAGGTGACAATATTATTAACTTGGTAAAAAAGCAATTAAAATCTTCAAAGAGTGAACTTTCAAATAGTGCAGCAACACTTAAATGTCATATTTCTGTTGCAAATGTATTTTTAATGATAACATTTCTTTGTAATGTAAATCAGCCTCCTCTCAATTATAACATGTTAATCAAGTTATTTCTCAATTGCTGCCTACCCTTCAATGCCTACAAGTCCATCACATGTCATTCTGTAAAAGCATACTAATTACTTGATTATATTTTAGTCAAGTTTTGCAAATCCAACTATTTTCTTCAAGACTGCATATTATGTGCAAATGTGTCTGTTGTGGAGGAGGGGACAGAAGAAGACATTTGCATCCTGCAAATTCAGCCTAACTGAAAATCCTTCAAAGTACCTTAGTATGCAGGATTTGATCCTAGAAACAGAAGAAAAGGAAAAATGGGTATCCACATACGGCTTCCTAATATCTCATGCACATGCTATTCCTGGTTGACCTGTCTGAGAAGGGTAAGGAAAAACACAAGGCTGAGATGAATATTTAAGAATTATTCAAAGCATATACCTCAAACGCAGAGCAGGATTTGATTGGGTAGAGGTAAATGTTGGTGACAGTGATGGGCTTGCCACCTCTTCTACATGTTGGCACTGCAGTCTCCGAAACAGCTGCCCTTATGCTTTCCGCCTCAGCCTCCGGTGGCTGCCAGCCGGGAGTCATCCTGGCTGCAGAGGAATGACTCCTGAGTTCTCTGTCCAAGACGTGTGGTATTGGAGACAATTTATCTGCATTGTTAAAGGAAGAGTGGTCACCTGGGACAGACTCTGTTGTCAGCTTTGTAAGAGAGGACTGGAAAGGAATCTCAGTGTCCGACTTAGAGAGCCTGGTGGCTATGATGAATTTCAAAAAAGTCTGAGCATCTTCAAAAGAAGACATGTAGCCAAAGGATATCCTCACGGAACCAGTGGGGCGTCCATCAACTAGGTCTATGTCATCTCCACAGACATGGCCAGCCTAGTTTGACATAGGAAGAAAACCAGAGAGTTATTATAAGAAACTTTGCTTTGTTGCCCTCTAATTTTCCAGTTATTAACAAGTCTCTTAATTCTAACCCAAAAAACTGTTTTGAAAACAGTTAAAGTATAAAGTTAACTCATGGATACAAGGAGAAAAAAATTCCAACTATCTTATTACTCACTCAAACTGCGAATAAGATAATTTTGAGATGCTTGTCCTATTCTATCCAAAGGCAAGAGTGACTTCTCAAAAGCAAGTCAAAAAACAGGAAAAGTTTGTGTGGTCCAGGATGGCCTGCTACCTAGAGCAGTCTCCAGGTATATTCCAGTCTCATCTGCTTAGTTCACTGGGATTTAAACTGGGATATTATATTCAGATAGGTGAACAAACCATGAGACTGCTGATTCTTCTGGGGCAGTTTTCTTGATATTCGGTGTCACAACAGTTCCATTTTATACTGTCAGTGGCTTATTCTTGGCTTGTGTTAAATAGTCCAAAGAAGCTATACAGCCAAGAACTGGTCTGCAATATTAGCAAAACAGACACTTGAAAAATCCAGAGTTCTAGCATCCAAAGTGACTTCCCTCACCACTGGGATATGCAGGAAATCTGTCTTGCTGATTCAGTCAACACATTGCTTTCAGGACAGAAGGAACTGGCCTTCCTCCTCTCCCCCTAACATTTCCTCATTGAAGAACACAAGTCACCGCTCATGAAAAATCTTTGTTGAAAAATGCTGTAAATACCCTAATAGTAACTTCCACATAGATACCCCTCCATTTTTCTGGAAAGCTCTCCCTTAGGGTAGAAGTTTCTCCTTCAGTAAGTGAGTCAGTGAATTCTACCACTCACCTCCAGCGAGACAAGCTAGAGAACTTTGCTCATCCATCTAACATTACCAATGGACACAAGATTTAGTCCTAAGTCAGCATCTTTATTCCTGTAAGTGCAGCAGCTTTTTTTTTTTTTGTTTTGTTAGTTTTGCCTTTTCTTTTTTCTCAGAATTTCATTTATTTATGCGTTTCTATTACATAAAAATGGAAGTGTGAATAGATTATTTACATGAAGGCTTTTTTTAAGCAAGAAATGTTCACAGTTCAATGAACACAGATGCCATTTATGCGAGGAAAAGTAAAACAAGAACTACCCTCTTTGTCAAAGCATGCAATACAGTAGTAAATATTTTAATGCAGCGTGATGTACTTTTTATTCTTGACAATAAAGCAGAAGTAACATCTGCAAAATTAGGTTGCATCTGTTGATATCCATGTAGCCCTTCTGCCAAGTACTGATTGATTAACTGAGGAGACAGGTTCCTGCTGTGCAAGTAAGTGAATTGAATTTCCACCTAAAATCCTAGGAAAAATAACCACACTTCTCCAGGGACCCTTGAGGACTGAATGTCCTCTCTCACAGGCATTTTATACATGGAAATCTTCATCAGGGAAGAAAGAACAGTGAGCATGCTGGGAAAAGGCAAAACTGATAGAAAAGGGTAGAATTTTTTTACTTTCTCAGAAAAAAAAAAATTTTTTTACTTTCTTTTGGGGAACCTGCTCCCCCTATGAAATTCAAGTATCACTGTCTTCCTCTTAGACAGATCATGCATGAGGAGACTACGGACATGGAGCTTTCCACTGTAAATCAAAGCACCATTTTGCTAAGGAGGTATTAAGGAGCTCTCACCCTTTAAGAACTTGTGCTATCAATCTGGCATATAAACTTGTTTGGAAAAGTTTCTAAAAGTCTCTTTGAAATTATAAGTGAGCTATAATACCAATACAGCCATTATAATTTTTTATCTTTTGAAGAATACCTTTAATACAATTTTGGATTGTTCTGTATTAATTTACTTTAATTTCAAACTCTAACAAGTGGGACAGACAAGGAGCCTCCCCCATTTCCTTGTAATACATCCTGCTATACATCTTTTAGTGACCACTTATAGAAAATATCAGTAATTTGGAAAAAAGTCTTTACATTCCTATTCTAACTATCTAACACACCAATAATCTAGGTAGATGTCATCTAAATTTATGTCGCTTTCTGAGATTCACTGTGCATTCTCATTTATTGTTTCCTGTGCAAATTGTGTATGCCTTTTAAACTATAACATCCAACAGCAATATAATACTTGAACAGTATTAAGTATAATTAAAGATACTTAAGGAACAACATGAGATAAATTGTCCAGAAACTTCTATTCTGCAGGAAATCTGCATTTCACCTATTTCCAAATCAGAACAAGAAGACAGAATTTCATATTTTCCAATTAAATAAAACCAATAAGCATATATTGCTTTATGTCCATCAAATGATTTTGTTTCAATACCCTGTTTCAGTGAACTGAATTTCAGTTCACTTAGTTCTTTAACATGGCAATTGAGTTGAACATCAGAGAAAGCAAATCAAATTTACCTTCATTCTTAAAGTCACAGAGAATCAAAACCATAGGATGTGGTACACCTATTTTAGCTTTTAACTAATTAGTGACTTTTTTTTTTGATACAAAGCCAGATTTTCTTCTCCCCTTCAAACCTCCCATCCTTAGGAAACTCAGAACTGATAGACAGAAGATGTCTCCTGGGTCAGTGAATATAGGTGTTTTCCATGGGAAATACATCATGTAATCTTATTCAGAAACTAACCTGCAGATGCCTTCGGATGTCCTCATTGCTTATACCCAAGTGCATCTGGCAGGCTCCTGTGTTACAGAAGCACCCTGTGCGGACGTGTATGTTGTAGAGGCTGGCCATCTTGTCCACCTTCCCAATTCAGCAGGAGATAAGACATCGGAGAAGAAAAAAAAAGAGACATTTTAAAGTTGTGGTAAACAACATACAATGTTTTAAAGGTGCAATTCATTTGGAGGCAAATTACCTCTCTAAATTATTAACAATTTACTGTAGCTTTTAGTATTCCTATAGACATTTAGGATTTTTCAGCCTTGTTATTCAGCTGAAAGGAAAAAGTGGTGGAAGCAGAATGGCCTATCTTGGCATTGAGAGACCATGCACACAGCACCACTGAGAGTACATCAGTTCAGGTTCTGATCCTGTTAATGCTAGTACATGTGCTTAATTTCAAACCTGTGAACAGGTTCATTCACATCAGTAGTGCCTGCAGTCAGGTGTCATTCAGTGACAGAACCATCACTATCAACTGCATCTGCAGAGATTGAAGAAAGACTAAAGAAAACCTTGTTCTCCAAGGATCTGAAACTGCACCTGTGGGATCTGGCACACAAGTGCTTGAAGAATTATCCCCTCAGTAAACAATAACATCTGACAGGGCAGGGACTAAACTGGAATACCTCCTTGAGTCTTCTACACATGACCACTCAATCCACCAGTTCCCTGGTGTACTTTTTCCTCGTGCTGTTCCATGTCGTACCACTTCTTTATTTTCCACTGTATAATGAATGGGCAGAAATACAATACTTGATAACAAACTGGTATGAATAAATCACGTGAACGAATGAAAAAGATGTGAAAAGAGAACAAGAACAGAAGCACATGTTTATGTATGCTTTGGAAGAAGAAACATATATGTGTGCATTGGCAGGATGGCACTGGCAGGATGGCACTGCAGGGAAGAGATATGGATAGTCAGGGTTTCATAGCACAGGTAAGAAACAATGGAAGCACACCATGGGGATCCTCTTAGCACATCTAAGAAACCATAGAAGTATACTACAGGGAGCTGAAAATGCTTTATGTTGATTTCAAAAAACAACAACAGCAGCTGGTAAGGTTAGCTGAGTAGGTATAGCTACTGACAGTGATTTCTTCAGCAATAAACAATGAAAATTTCTGGTCAGGAGTGGGGGAAAGGACAATCAGATGGTCAGAAAGGTAGCATGAAAACTAGCACATAGTATCTCTACCAGAGACTTCCAGAACAACCTTGCAGAAGCTGCATTGATCTCTTTGTGCTTTTGCCCCTCTTCTGCAAGATGGAGAGCTGAGCTCTGACAACAACCACGCTGCAGACTGAGAGGACCCCACCATGCCAGTGACACAACCCTCCTCACGGGGAGCTCAGGCTCAGCTGCACCAGCCTGACAGCTCAGCCTAAATGTGTAGGAATGGAAGGGTCAACCACCTCAAACTAACTACTTTCGTGAGCTCATGATTTACCTGCCTGAAGTATCAAAATAAACATCCAACCTAGACTTTCTAGCTGGCTTAATCTCTATTGGCTTTTTCTTGGTTTTTTTTTTTTTTTTTTTTTAAAACATAAATTCCGTTGTATAGGAAAATAACCCAAGACATGTAGCAAAGACTTTCTGGTGTAATTCAGCCTATCTTCTGACTTCATCTATTTTCTGATGTCAGTCTATCTTCTGACATCTCTGAGTTTAACTGTGTGAGATACCAAGCACCTTAACTTCACCATCTTATCAGCTTGAAAAACCAAGCCCTCTGTTAGAATTTACTCTAGGCTAAAATAAGTCAAGCTAAGTGGCATTTAGCTCTCCTAAAAGCAGGTTAAACAGCATTAATGTGTGGGTTGTGTTGGTTTTCTTTTTTTTTTTTTTTATGTGTGGGGCACAAGGTACTCCACACAAAAATGTGCTGTATACACAGAAAAAACCCTACATAATTATAGTGCACAAGTTCTGAAGTTCACATTTAAAAATACTCTGCCCCACTAGTTTAGTTCAAAACCATTCATTTCTCAAATGGAGATACAATCAAAATATCTCCCTATATCCAGACTCAGAAAGCAAAGAATAGAGTGAGTCCCGAGATCCCTGTTCACAATTAATGCCTTGGAGAATATCTTGTGTTCAAAACATGTTTCTCAAATCAGAGTTATAGTAAAAGGCATTGAGAAAGACTGTTGTGGTGTCACTAGTTTTGTTTTGTCAGAAGGCTTCAGTCTGGCAACAGTTACATTTTCTTGACTTCTTTTTCATTTAGATGAGAAAAACTGTCATGCTGGCATAATGTGGTTTGTCATGGTGCTAGTGACTCGCGGGTGGATCTATCATTCCGTTAACGATGACAAGCAAGGCAAAAATCACGACAGATACTTCGCTACTGAATTCATACAATGTTTGACTTTATTTGCTTGGTATACAAAAAGCTTTAAAATATATATATTTTTTTTTCTTTTTACTGTGTTTTTAAAGAATCATTGCTGGGGCAGCCTTGCTTATCAAAGTGTATGTTGTGTAATGAAGTTTCCCTCTCCCAATTTCAAGGAATTGCTAACAAGATTTAAAAAAAAATCTTTTTAACTTTGTCAAACAAACTATTACTTTCTTTAATGAACAGTAGCTTTCATTCTCGCTTTGGACCTGACACCATTCTCCAATAACACTTTAAATTGTGATATATATTAATCTGTACGGAAAAGATTAACGATACATAAAAACATATGAACACTTGAGAAATATGGCAAATTGTGGTTCAGGATAAGAGAGATGAATTATCCACAGCTTTAGTATTTATTGATCTCCGTTATCAGCAATGTGGTAACGCACACAGGTCTTGGGACCATGGTGGACAGTGCTCAGTGAAAACCCACAGCACGTAAAGGATCAGCAGGGGCAGCAGTGCAGCTCTGTCTCCCTTGGCAGGCATGCTTCACTTCCCCCTGGACAGAGGCTTTGATCTCCTCTTGTTGTACCATCACCCTAGAAATATGCTACTCAGGGAATTTAATTTCTCTCTGCAGTGCCACCACATAGCAAAACAAATAGAACATAAAACATCTGTTACAGTTATTCCAATGAAGAAAAGCTTATTTAGATAAAGCACATCTTTAAAATTACCATAAGGACCAATAGTGGCTATGGAACCCTGGGTTATGAAATACAGAATGCTGATTGCAGCTCTGTCTGTAACAGCAGCAGGCAACTTTTGGGAGCCAGGAATATCTTCATCAATGAAGGCACAGAAGCATGAATGGTACTAATGGTAAGTACACAGCTTAATGTATTCAGCTTGTCAGTTTTGTTGACTCCCTGGATCTGGTATTTGGAACTATTGTGCCTTGGTCTTTCAGAGCTTAAAGGCTACAATTAAATGGCAAAACACATGCAGAAAACTTGTAGCATTTTTACTGATTTCAGTCGGTGAGGCCATAGTAATTAAGCCATCATGACATCTTGGAGTCCCACCTGCTCTTCAGAGACCTTTTGCATTCATTACTTTTTCTGAAGCTTTCTGTGGGCCAAGCCCTGTAGGTTGCTTCACACCCCAACACTTATGATGTCAGATTATCTTGATTTTTGACAAACAAAAGGTGCTTTTCGCACTTCCAGACTGTGGTCTATGAGTTCAATAAACACACATGAACAAAGTTCATCTAAATCCATTTTTAAAAGAATTTGGTTTTTTTTTCTGAGATAGTTCCTATTTTAAGCAGAGTTACTTTCCTCAGTGAGCCTTCCTCTAGTATTGCATATTGACCAAATACTCACAGTCAGGGTTATTTTCATACCACTATCTGATAAGTACTATTACTTCTTTTTTTTTTTTTTTTTTTTTTTTTTAAATGCAAAAAATATTAAGGTGGAGTCTTTCTTTCTCATTTTAAAGCATTACCTTGCAATAGTCTCTCTTGGATATCTGGTATTTTATTACCCACTGAGAAGATGGACAGCTCAAAAAAAAACCCCATAATTTGATTCTGGTGTGTTCTGATTTCCCATCCTCTGTTACACGTTGCACTGGTGACTGTTTTGCCTTTGCTAAATGACTGAGTTTTGCAACCCATGAACTTTAGGGCCTCTGTGGTGGTCAGCTGAAAGGTGTAAGCTCTTCTCTGGCTTCAGGCTCCATTTAAGTAAGTCTGAGAATGATGCTTAGTGTAGGTAGATAAATACTAAGTGATAGTAAATATTTACAAATAGCACATAGTTTTGCATTATATCTAATTAAGTAAGTTTAAGACTTTCACTAAGAATGATGGATTCTTTAGCAACCTCTGCTGAATTCATTCCCATAGGATACAATTCTGTAGCTCTATCAAATACTTCTTATTTTTGCAAGTAATTTTACTGAATATCATAGGAATGAGTTACACAAATAAATGAACTTTTTATAATAGCTCATGAAGTGTCCAAAATCATATAAGTCAATACTTACAGGAACTGGAATTCGGACTTCTCATTCTACTTTCTACAATGCTCAAATTTCTGAGCAGTTTGTTTGTCTGATGGATTTGCTCATTACAAGAATTTCACTGCACACCATTGATGGCTGGTTATAAAACAGGTTTCATGACACCATTCTCCACATCCACTGGTAAATTAATCCACTGACTTATGGCATGGAATTGAAGAGAAAGTAAGCTAACTCTTTGTGTCATCCAGACTGAAATGTTGCTGATGCAAATGCATAGTTAATTTTGTTTAATACAATTTAATAAGAAGTAGGTTAGAAGAAAAAAAAAAATCAGCACGTTTCCAAATCATTCAGTAGAAGGAAGAAAGCATTTTAGCTACGTTACAGCATACTTAAACTGGTTTAACTGTATGATTTCCTGCAAGAGAGGAATTTTTCCCCATCTCAGGGAAAGAATTTCTGCATGGGCAGGTTCCCACAGTATTGATGAGTCTGATCTTCTCCTTCTTACGGCATCTCAAGTTGACAATGGTTAAAATTAACTGGAGAGTGGATGCAAATCTCTCTTCAGTCTACACCCGTTGATCACTCATTCTGGCAAAAAACCATAGAATCATAGAATCATAGA